ATTGGCTTTGGATTTGACCTGTACGTGCAAAATGTACAAGCGATCGATTTCCACTGTATCCGCCCCTTAGAAATTTAAGAAGTTGTCTGTTTGTTTGTAATCAAATCGGTTTCTGATGAAGTAAGGGCCTGAAACGATGGTGCTACTCGACAATGATATCTGGCAATGGCCAAAACTGCACAAAACGCTCTGGTTCTTACGAATGGCTCGGCCTGGGTGAAATCGGTAATGTTTGACGAGGGACGTCACTAACCATATACTGTAGAACAATGAATGATCAATAAAGTTGGTCAAAAGGTGACAAGACTGGAGGAGCTTCGACTTACCTTCGTGTGGCGTACCCACCCCTAGGAGAAGTTTAACTCAGGATAAGGAACTCAGACCCTATTGGGGTGCAATTTTCAAGACGAATAACGTGGATGTCCTTTCACTGCATTTTATAAACAATTTTATTTACTAAATTATTTGTAAACGCAGCAAAAAAAATCGGTTTTACTGTACCATCTCCGCGATGCATGCAACCGTTGTTTTTAGAAGCAGACTACCGTTTCCAGCTAAACCAACAATGTTTTCGCCTAAGGGCTGGTTTGTGTAATGAAACACTTTTAAAAATGTGTCTAATTGCAAGTTAGGTCTGAAAAATCTGACTTATAATGTAATTACACCCTTTGCCTTATTTAGACCTTATACATGACTCAATATCGCACTATACCAGCTGTCTGATTACATGAACTGTAGGGAGGCTAGACGACGGGTTAACAGCGGCGATGGCAAGAACAGCGGCTCACCTCAGCTTGGCCCCGTATCGAGGGCGACGACGAGGACGTCCCTGTTCCTCTTCAGCTGGTGTTGCCAACTATCGGACGATATTCAGAACAGTCACATTACAGCGCTTTGCGGGATGGATGTTGCAGCCAAGCTGACGGAAAGCAGTTAGGGTTGATTTTATTGGATATTGGAGCAGAATGATCGCGTGTAAGTCTGCTTTTCGAATACCCTTGGGCAAAAATAATCGATTACTGATAGATGACATAGCCGTCGTCGCATTCGTGCGACAGAGGTGAAGCGTGCTGCCTCGTTTGGCATTAGCAGACGTAGAG